CGATCCAATATTAAAATGCGATTCTCCGATCACTGTAACATTGTGAAAGAGGCGCAAGCAGTTGGTTAAGAAGAAGTCGATTTCGTGGAACATCTGCCTGTTCGGGGTATGGTATGTCCAGCGACGTCCTACACGCTTTTGGAAATATGAGTTTGCCACTGATAATCGACTCCGTTCGGTGAATTGTGCTAAAGCCTCTCCTCTGTTGTTTCTTCCTGGTATTCCGTATGGCCCTATATAGGATTCATCAGGTTCTCCGCATCCTAAGTGGGCATTGAAGTCTCCAGCGCATATCACATATGTTCCTTTTGGAGTAGTGGCAACATTTTCGAGTGTGTCGTAGAACTCTTCCACGGCTTCATCTTCATATGCACCGGTGGGGGCATAGACCGACAGTATTTTCATCGTCTTCTTTTTGCCTAGTTCGAGCATTAGAATCGCAATTCTTTCAGACACTACTTCGCAATAGGCAATCCTTGCAGTGAGACGTGGCGATACAATGAATCCGACTCCTCCGACTTTTCCGTTTCTTGAGCCAGCTCCTAAGATCACTTCATGTCCAGTGTGCCATTTCCATCTTCCTGCATTGTATCTTAACGTTTCTTGGACACATGCTACATCAATCGCACACCTGTCCATTTCAGATACTAGCTGATCGATCACATAGTCGTTAACGAGACCTCGAGCGTTTATTGTTCCAATGTTTAGGAAACTGTTTGGCAGATCGCTTTCCGTGAGATTTCTCCCCCTCTGCCTTTGCCCTCTCTGCCAGGAAGGGCGGTGGCCGCACGGGACTGAGGGTGCTTCTTCTTGAACTTCACTCATAGATGTTGATGGCCTGGACTTACCCTCACCGCCTAGCCATAACTGGCGGTAGTACCACTGCCGGGTGTGGTACCTGTCCAAGAGGGGCCCGTTTTTAGCCTCACTCAACGCGTCGCTGTTCCGGCAACAACAACGGGAAGCAACATTGAGTGAGTTTACACCATCCCACCACTTTGAGGTAACGGGGCTAGGGATGAACATATAGTGTAGTTCATTGCGGACGGTTGGGCGTGTTCGTGCGGCTGCGTTTGGCGCGGTGCCAAACTCGTTCTCCACGAGTTGTTCAAGCGAGCAAATGACAATACTGTATCATACCTTTCGTATTACTTGTTTTCTACTGCTTCTTGTAGCATGCCCGTTTCAGCAAGAAGGCAGAGAACAGCTCAAAGAGGGTGACGCACTCATACTGGCTGACGCGCCCAACCGTCCACAGCGAAGTCGATTGTATGAGTACATACA